TTGACATTTACAAAGAGCAGGAGGCCCCTTCAGTGCCTTCTAGGCATTGGGAATGGCGGTCTGTGGGCGACCTTAACGTGTGCGGCGTCCTGAGACCTGATCGCGGTGCTCACGCTTTACCCGAGGGCCTCCTCCCGGAGTACCAGAGTCTCCTCTTCTGCAGTCGGCCAGCCAGGCAGCAGCTGCTGAAGAAGGAGCAAACAGTAAAAGACAGATGTACATGGTGTTATTGTGGCAGAGAGGTTAAAACCAGGCTCACTCTGTTCTTACAGTTTTAAAAAACTAATAATGAAGTCCTTGACTGTGTATGGCATTTCAGGATTTTAAAGCGGTTATGGGTGTGTCTGTGTGTCTCTCTAGCTCCCAGGTGCTCCCTGTGAAGAGAGCTCAGAGATGCCACCTTTCCTTGTTGAGGTGACAGGGCCTGGAGAGGTGTGAACCCCATAGTGAGGGGGGTGACTGACCTGGGGGGAGGCTGGGTCAGCGGTGGGGATCCACCCCCTCTCCACGTTCCTGTAGGGAATCCACAGTTCTAAGTCTTTATGATATGGGTAAAATGAACCTGGAAGAGGTGTTATTTTTTAAGAAGTAAGTGCCATGCTCCTTTTTCCTCATACTTTTCCGTGTTTAAGCAGTATTGAAGGATAAGGCACTAGTAGCATGCTGGTTTGGAAATAATCTTGTTGGTTATTTTACCTTGAATCTGATATTAAGGTTGCCTGGTAACAGAAGTTTTCCTTTAACAACATGGAACTCTGTTGAATCTGTTGCCCCATTGGCTGAGCAGTCTGAAGTCAGTGCTGTGGCAGCTAAAGAGGCCTTGGAGGAAGCCGCTGGATGGGCAGGAGGCACCCCCGTTGATTGAGGGAGAGAGGCGCAGTTTGCAGGGACCCCACATAGCACTTGTGGCTCTCTCCTGCCCCCTGCTGGTTGGCCAAGCAGCCTCGCCACAGTGTGCTCAACGTGAATGTTCACGCGGCAGGCCAAGGCCTTTGCTTCAGAAACACTGACTTCAGAAACGGCCGGCCCTGTGTGTTGAGCATGGCAAGAAAGACTTAGGTGTGTCTTAAACCTCTTGAACGAAGCAAGTTGATGTTTCAAATGCATCTCCAAGGCTAATGACTTTGCTATGGTCAATATTCAGGAGAAAATAGGGTTTGATGAAATAGAAGCACAGGAGTGGCAAGTGAGGTGCTTGTGCCCCGTATGACTAAGCCATGTCCTGGCCGTTCCACACCACGGCCTCTGAGCAGCCAGCGTGCAGATACTGGGTCAATTTAGATGGGACTCCTGGAGCTGTCGGCCATCCGGAAGAAGTAGGAGGAGTTCTGTGTGCCCATGGTCATGGTTCCCGCTACTGTGTCCAGCAATGTGCCGCGTTCGGATTTCAGCATCGGGGCAGGCACAGCCCTGAACACTATCACTGAGGTAAGTCCCTGTGCGACCCGCCAGGCGGGCGCCCGCTGACGCTAACCCGAGGGCCCTGGTCCTTTTTATCTACCAGTGCGCTAGAAACAGTCTTTTACAAATACCCTGAATGAGAGCTTCTCGTTCTTTTCTCCCCCCTGGAAAAGTAGGTTTTTAGACTGAACATTTTTGATCTCACTCCCAAAAAAGTTTTATCGCCTCGTCTGTGTGGCCACCGGCCCGGACTTAGCGTGGCCAAGACCCTGGATGTGCCCATGAGTACCTGCAGCGCTGAGGATGGCTGGGCCGCAGTCTCCTGTGATTGCACCAGCATTAAAATCCGCTTTTTTTTTTTTTTTTTTTTTAAATGTTGAGCCTAATTTTCTTTGAGCCTCCAATTCCCATTATGAGGAGCCCCTACCTTGATGCTGAGGGTAGAAATTGAACTGAATATTTTATAATTGTAGTTATTGTCCTGAACGCACCATTGCATTTGTTATCTCTTTGGTCTTGGCTGTTGACCTCATTTTCCCGTTTGTAAACTGAGGATGTTAAATTACATCTAAGGCAATATTGGGGCTAGTTTAGTTTTTTTGCCAAGAGACAATAATGAAACCTACTTTTCTGTTTGGTTTTTTCTTTGTGAGACAAGGTCTTACTCTGTCACCCAGGCTTGAGTGCAGTGGTGTGATCTCGGCTCACTGCAGCCTCGACCTCCTGGGCTCAGGTGATCCTCCCGCCTCAGCCTCCCGAGTACCTGGGACCCCAGGCACATACCGCGATTCCGGGCTAAAAGAAATATATGCCTATCCTCATGTTTGTGTGTCACACTTGGTGATTCAGGTGGGAATCTGAAGATCCGTACCTAACGCAGGAAGCATTTCATTTTTTTAAAACTTGATGTCTAAAATTTTTCAGAAATTCTCAAATTTTGATTTTTCTTGTGCGACTTAGTTCTCACGAATATTTTTAAAAGTTTTTTTTTTTGTAGTAAACCCTTGGCATGCAACTTATTTCTAGCACTGGTAGTTAAAATAACAAGCTTTTAACATACAGCTCATATGGTTAGAAATGCTTAGCACTCGTTTCTTGCTTTTCTGAGTGTCTTAAACTTCACTTTCTTTGTGAAGGAAACCTGCCCAGGTTTTTCCGTGTTCACTGGCTTTGGGGGCAACTTTCACCTTATTTTTGGCAGTCACTAATCTCTGACCTAGACGTTACTTCTGTAATCCTGGTGACGGGCGTCACGGCTTTGCTGCTGTGGGTCCAGCCCGGCTCTGGGCTGACCTTCACGCTGGGAACGGGAACATGAGTGTCTGTTTCACAGAGGGGATTCCAGCATGGCTTTCACTGCTCTTTCACCGGCTTTAGCTGGATTTTTGGGTCTGTGAAAGTTGGGTGTGCAATGGGAGGGATTGAAGCTTCTTTTTTCCCTAATCGTTACCTAATTGGCACTTGCCCAGAGGGAATGGGTGGAGAATTTGAGAGCAGTCACTACAGTTAGCTGAGCATCTGAAGATGTGGGACAAAGCTGGTGTTGATCTCCCTGTGACTTTTTATTTTCAAGTTTCCACACAAAGCATAGATGCTTGTGGTATGTGATGTACACTTTCATTCAGGAAGAAAATCTCTTTAATTCCAGCGTCCTCTGCTATAAATAACTTTTTTTTTTTTAGATTGTAAATATGTAACAAACGTGTAGGGTCAAAATTTGAAAACCAAAACACGTGAGGCAAACACCCCACAAATGGTCAGTTCCACCCGCTTTGAGGGACTGTGTGATTTTATTATGCGATTGTTTTAAATTCAGTTTTTCATTCATTCGAGCTTCTGAAAGCTAGGTTAAAAAATTTTGTTTTCTTTTTCTTTTTTTTTGGAGACAGGGCCTCACTCTGTTTCCCAGGCTGGAGTGCAGTGGTGAAATCACGATTCACTGCAGCCTCGACCTCCCAGGCTTAGGCGATCCTCCCACCTCAGCCTCCTGAGTAGCTGGGACTATACGTGCATGCCACCATGCGTGGCTAATTTTTTCTATTTCTACAGAGACGAGGTCTCCCTGTGTTGCCATGGCTGGTCTCAAACTTCTGGGCTCAAGCAATCCCCCTGTCTTGGCCTCTCAAAGCACGGGGGTTACAGGGATGAGCCACTGTGTCGGACCTTAAGTTAACTGATTACAATAGAGAAAGTAACTGGAGCGTGAAGTTAGTTGAGCCTCCCGTTGGCCAGGCACAGCCACCTTGGTAAGTGTATGTGTGTGTCCTCATTGCCCTTCTGATCCTGAGCTCCGAGGAATGAGGCTGTCTTGGGAGTGCTGTGGTTCTAGTCTCGTGATGGGTGAGTGACGCCGGCTGAGCTGATCGAGGTCACCCTGGCAAATGCTGCTCAGGAGTCGGGGCAGGGACGAGAAAGCCGCCGAGGATCCCTCTGTGGACCCCTGAAGGGAGAGGGACCGAGATGTGAACATGGCAGCTGTTTCCTCCAGAGCCCTGTTTACTGACAGCCAAACAGGGTGAATCCTGAGAAGGTTTGAATTTGGGTCTGAACTGGGCTCGTCTGGCAGTAGAACAGGAGCTGGTGGCGAACTCGAAAAATGAGGGCATGAAGCGACTTGACGTGGATGACTCCTGGTGACTCCAGCCACTGTCCTGAAGCCGTCAGAGGCTGAGGACATGTGGGAGTGAGCGTCTCTTCCCTGTCTGGCCACACACCCTCTGTGACCCGTGATGCCTGGCCCTGGGCAGCATTTATGTTTGGGGTCTGTGGATGGCTCCAGTTGTTCAGTCAATTTGGTGATTCTCATGGGGTGATTGTGCCCCAGGGGATGTTTGCACCGTCCAGGGAGGTTTCTGGTTAGAACTGGGAGAAGGGATGCTCCCAGCCCCTGGGACTTGGAGACAAGGGACGCTGCGGAAAGTTCCTCCAAGCACAGGGCGAGCTCAATAGTAGGATTCTGGCTCAGGACGTGGCCATGTTGCGCTTCAGAAGCCCTGGGCGTATCTGATGTGCTGAAGTCATCATCTGCTTTGGACACGTGCGTCCTCATCCTCATCCTCATCCTCACTGATGATTTGCTTCTTGCCAGCATTGATGCTTAGCTGACGCCACAGCCCCTCAGAATCTATGCAGTGCTGGCGAGTGGGTCTTCCGGGCAGAACGGAATGAATGGAATACCTCAGAGCAGGTGTTACACAGTCTCAGGATGCGGCTGCAGGGAGTTTCGGTTGGACTCCTTTCATTCCTTAGCGCTGGCTGGTGCATTACTCTGTCCTGTAAGCTTGATCAGGTCACATCAGAAACACAGTAGGTGGGTGCCATGCTGCTGTCAGGTGTCGCGAAGGTGGCGGTGACCACAGCCTTATAATTCCTTGTCATAGTGGCCCCACCACAGACCCAGGGGCCCGGCTGTGTTTGGTCTTGAGAGTTTTATGCTTTTCTGGGCAGGGTCTCCCCTGTCTTGAATCTTCCCTGCCCTTTTTTGGAGACTGAAGGAAGGAAAAAGAGGAGCGATAGGGAAGAGGAGGGGAGAGAGTATTTTTAGCAATGTGGCCATTCCCACAGATTTCAATGTGGAGTTAAGGAGCTGAGACGCCCCCACCTGCCCTCTTGTGTGCCTCAGGCCCCTCCTGGCCCCGGGTCACCCACACCCTCTGGCTTCCAGCGAGGGCTTCTTGGAGAAGCAGCCAGCTCTCCGGGGCCAGTCTTGGTCCAGCCAGTCTTGGTCAGTCCTGAGCTAGGGTATTCCACAGTAAAGGAGTGACATCACCTGTCTGAAAAG